CCAGGATGCGCTCGAGAGGCGCTGAAGAGGCGCTGGGGCCGCTACGAGCTGCGCGACGATGCGGCGATGCATGGTGCGAGTGGATTCTCAATGTGCGGTGAAGGGGTGCCGCGACCAGTTCGCATCCCAACTGCTATGGACTCCACGCACACCCGAACCTGGTTTCTGATTTCAAGATCTGATGGATCCGCACCAACCACCCAACCGCCCGGCAAACCGGATCAGCCTGGTGGATCTGGCCACGGAGATCGCGGTGCGCAAGCGGTCGCCCCTCCAGCTGCCGCCGGCGCTGGGCCACGTGTCGTTCACGCTGGTGGCGCAGCTGGTGGGGGTGTCGGCGCGCTTCCTGCAGGTGCGTGGGTGTGTGGGGGGCCCTGGGTGGCGTCATTTGTTCCGCATTTGATCCGCGCACGGAGTCCAAGTTCTTTGCAATCTCAGGGCCTTTTTTAACGAAGTGGCTCGTGGGGGGACAAGGTCTCGTGTCTGGTGGTCTGCACTTCCATGCGTGACAGCCAGGCGCGGCGGGGCGGCTGGGGCTGGAGGAGGTTGGCCTTCTTGTGCGGGGGATGCCCTTTGACCCACCGCCGACCAGCCTCCCACCAGCTCGGTCAGATACGAGCTGCCATGCGTGGAAAGCAGGGGGCCGCCCCTGCTTGCCGAATGCGTGGCCCGAGCGGCTCCGGCCACTGAAACGACCGCGTGCCCCCGCAACTCCCCCTTCCCCCCACCCCCGCCCCAGGCCCTGATGGCGGCGGTGCCTGTGGAGCGCAGTGGGCCGCTGTCGGACCACGGCCTGCTGCAGCGCTACCTCATGACGCCGCAGACCGCAGGGGACGCCTTCTACCAGGTCGGCTGCCTGGACTGCCTGGACTGCCTTGACTGCATGGACTGCCGCGGTGCTTGGGGTACCTAGGCCGCCAGGGCTGCTCTCCTTTGAGGCTCAACATCGGGCTCTATGAAACTGGGGTGACAATGCAGAAGAAAGCAAGTGCAGTAATGCGCAAATGGGATGGACTCGGGGGCCATTTGGTGGGAGCATCAGCGCCAAAACAATTATTGACATCACTGCACCTTCAACCTATATGGCCCCCACCACTTCAGGCCGCGTGCGAGTTCTACCTCGGGCTGTATGCGGGCCTGGCTGGCCTGGTGCTGGACCCAATAGAGGGCTTCAGGCTGCCTGGTGGGCGCTAGGGGTCGGCCGACGTGCCGGGCAACAGGCGGCATGGACGCTGCACCGCATTTGCCGTGCCTCGCAGCTCGGCTAATTGGGTGCACAAGCACTTGAATCCACATGCACTAAAAGCAGACCATCTGATCAGTTGAATGCCACGCTTGCGCCCACGAAAAGCGATGTACACACATTGCACTTGCATCTGAAGCCGGGGTGCCCTTGCACGTGCCGAGCCGTTCACCTTTCCCCTCGCCAGGCGCGCTGGGCGTGGTGGGCGCGCTGGCCGGCCTGATCAAGGGCCTGGGCGGCCTTGCGGCGCGGCCCGTGGTCGGCCTCGTGGACGGCAGCTCAAAGGGCCTCCAAGGCATCGGCCTGCTCTTCCTCGGGAAGCGCGGCATCCAAGGCAAGCTCGTCCGCCGCGTCCGCCCGCCCGGCGCCGCCGCCGACGACCCGCTGTCGCGCGCGCTGCGCGCGCGCGCGGACGGCGCGGGCGGGCGTGAGGCGGCGGCGCGGGCGGCGCTGGTGGCGAGCTGGGCGGCGGCGATCGGGCTGCTGGCGCCGGCGCTGGCGGGGGAGGGGGTGGTGGACGTGCTGGCGGCGCGGCACAACCGCGTTGTTGTGCTGACATCAGCGCACGTGGTCTACCTCAAAGCGGAGCCGGCGCGCCCCGCAACACCCTCCGCCGCGGCGGCGGCGCAGCAGCAACAGCAGCAGCAGGGCGCCGCTGCGGGCGGCGGCGGCGGCGGCACCACGGCGGGAAGCATGGTGTATCAGCTGCGGTGGGCGCTGGCGTGCGGCAGCGTGGTGCACGTGAGGGGCAGCGAGGAGAGCCTGAGGGTTGTGCTGGAGTACTACAGGGAGGTGCCCCGCGTGAGGCTGACGCTGCGGCTCAACCACTCGCTGCGCTGCGCCAACCCGACCGTGTACAACAGCATCGTGCGGCGCATCAGCCGCCACGTCGGGGCGCGCGGCGGCGGGGCCGGCGG